GCTTTTTTGGCTTTTCAGAAAAATATAAAGCTGGCAATCATCATAATATTCACGTCCGTACATACGTCACGGAATGTACACCAAACGTACCCCAACAAACTGGAAAACTTACCTTTGCAAACACGTCTCTTATGCGGCCTTCTTGAAGTTCTTGAAATCAAATAAGAAGTCGAAAATTTCCCTTTTTACCAAAAATATTCACCAAAATTAGAGAATTAAAGATATCATCACAAAATTAACAAATCTGAGAGAGGTCCACATGTAGTACCTATATATGTATTATCAAAGCAATCAGATTTGTTGTTTTTAACAAGAAGTCAAAAATATCACTTTTTACCAAAAATGACAAAAATATTCATCAAAATTAGAGAATTAAAGATTTCATCACGAAATTAACAAATCTGAGAAAGGTCACATGTAGTACCTATATATGTAATATCAAAGCAATGGAACTTGCAGTTTTTTAAAAGAAGTCGAAAATATCACTTTTTACCAAAAATATGCACCAAAACTAGAGAACTATAAAGATATCATCACAAAATTAACAATTCTGAGAGAGGTCCACATGTAGTACCTATATATGTATTATCGAAGCAATCGGATTTGCCGTTTTTAATAAGAAGTCGAAAATATCACTTTTTACCAAAAATATTTACCAAAAATAGAGAATTTGAGATTTTGACATAAAATGAACAAATCTAAGAAAACCCATCCAAGGTACTCGCATATCAAATTTGATATAACATTCTTACTTGTGGTTTCGAAGAAGAAGTTGAAATTGTAAAGTTGACAACGATGGAAGACAATGACGATGACGGACAATCAGTAATATGAACAGCTATGCTGTGTCGACTCTGTTGACAGCCGAGCTAATAAAGATGTGCTTCTTATATAGTAAATACAGTTTTCCTTAATTGTACTTCATGCCTTCAATACCTTCAGCACACAGGAGTTGTTTCTAAGCTTTCTTTGATTATCATATGTTGTTTACTTTGTAATACAGAATCAGAAATCTTCCCCCAAAAGTAAGTCTGTAAACAAACTGTAGCCAATTCAATTCAAAGAGAAATTATGATAACCTCATTTGAATTATTGACATTTATTAATTTTTCAAAATAGGATATACATTTTTTTTGTGTGACGTCAATGTTTATAAACATTCAGCAGTCATTTAAAGTCTTAGCTATTCCTCCACACCTGTTGGGAATGAAGTAGAATCTAATTTAGACAATATCTCTGCATAAACAATGGTCATCTGTAATGAAACAAGACATATTCATGTCAGTAAGAATTGTTTTTAATGGTTTTAGAGAGGTGGAAATCAAGAAAAAGACTGACTTAGGATAGTCAGATTTAGAAAAAATACAGAGTATCATTATGCTAAGTTTAGTCAATATCTTCTGTAACTATTAGAAGATATTTGTGACTAATACCAGAGATAATGCAAGAAGCATACAGTATTGATATTCTCGAGCATGTAGTGCAAGAAAAAATATCAATATTACTTCAAGCAATATCATTACAGTATAAATATTATTACAGTATAAGCTGTGAAATACCTGCATCAGCAAAAAAATCATGAAACTAACCATGTGGAGAAAGTGGAAGAGCAAAAGAATCTCTGAAAAAATAAGACATGAAGCTGCATAATCTAATTTGCATGATTCAGTTGAAGAGTTTATTAAACTGCCTGCTGATCTCCAACCAATGGTTCTGAACAAGATTACAGACTGGGGCATTAGAATTTTTGACAAATTAGTCATCAACTTCAACAAATTTGATCAAATCCTATAGTAATTGTGTGCAAACTTTCGAATCAGTAAATTAGTAAAGAATCGTCATAGAATAAAAACAACATTTTCACCAATCAGTCATTTTTGTCTGAATCTTTAAATTAATATCACATACACATGTGAACCGTTATGCATGATCATAATACAAAGATTGAATGAGATTGCCCTGTTCATCTCCAAGAAACGGTTCTGAACACATTTATCATGAGAAGTGAGTAATTTTAATGACTAAAATAGCTTTCAATTGGTGTACACCATACATACAAAACCAATATGAATAGTCACCATTTTTGGACTTTATGTAACATTAATATATATAACTTTTCAGAAATCTACTATATATTGTATCTGTATACTGTTCAGTATTAAACTAGTTTGCAATTCAGCAACATGCATGTTATTTTTTCTTACCTGTGGTTCATAGTTGGACTTCAAATCAGACAAATGTTTCAGTAGATTTATTGCCAAACTGCACCACCTTTCTGCCTCTTGATAATGTGAAGCACTTAAAAGAAATGGAAATAGCTTTAATGATTTTATTACCAAAATGGCCACCTATCAACCTAATTCCATCAAATCAAACATCAAGAAATGATATTGGATTGACACACAAGACCAATACTAATTACAGAATGCCAGAAAAAGATAGGAAAATAGTGAAAAAAGAAAATAGCCAACAGTCACCAATCTTGAATGAGATCTTTAAAAAATACAATATGCCAATTAATATGTATTGTCATCAGACCTAGTAAGTTTGATTAATGCATGTCTCTGGCTCTGGCTGAATGCACAGAACATGTATAAATATTTTTCAACAATTTTAATAAATGTGTGGCTTTATCTGTCACGATTGTTACTCCTACCTGTACAGATATATACCACAGTTCCAGGCTTTTGTCATCAACCAGACAGTTTCTATTTCAGGATAATCACCCTACATAAATCAAAGTAGTTTTATATTTATAACATTTTATTTATCAACTTTGATTAATTATGTTTATTGGTAATAAAATGTACTTTAAAAGTATCCAGATGATTATAAAATGGTTATTCTATTTATCGATTATCTACATAGAACCATTATCTCATAGATTAGCCTGCCTCATTTTTTCGAAGTGGACATCCGGGCATTTTTCATTGCCTGGTTAAAAGAAAGGCCGAAAACTCTCAGAAAACTGTACTTGGGGATATTTGTTGACACTCCGTTGAACAATGTAACAAGCTTACATGTGCAACTTATATAAATTTGGTTGATCGGGATACTTCAAAGTTGAGTTTGTGTTATTTCTTCAACTGTTTTCACCATCTCTTTGACCTGCGTTTCACAGCCGCTCACACAGAGCCCATAGAAATACATGATACAGTGGTGTATGCCTTAGTAGAAACTTCTGTGACGTAGCTCCACCCCAAGAATATGAGGTAGACATAAACTAACAACAGTTGGTGTATCAATGTTTTTGTTAACTGTACATACATACAAAACATTGGAACTCATTGCCTGATGCATTTAAAACCATCACTAAGAGACATACATGTATATTTAAAGCAAAGTTAATCAAAGAAAGCTTAGAAACTCTCCTGTGTGCTGAGAGTATTGAAGACACATTAAAAATTAATTAAAAATTATTTGTACACGAGATATTGATGGAAAAGCTGAAAACTAATTATGTAAATCAGGTAACTAATATGAACAGAACAAAAAAATTATGAATTATTATGCTAATTAGAGAAATTAATATGAACAAATTTTAACCCAAAATTAATCAGCCTGTTTATTGTCCTAGAGCATTTATGTACCAAATTTTATTCAAATGTGATGATCAGTAATTGAGATATCAGTGTTAATTAATTATGTTAATTAGGTGATTAATAAGCATTAAATATTTATCAAAAACTAATTGGGTCTCTGCATAGTTCTCTTTAAATGTTTCA